TGTCTGCTTTTCTCTAGAATTGACTTAAAACTTGGGACAAAAACAAGAAAGCCTGGCGTTATTCATTTAGCAAATGTCGTGCAGCGAGTGAACAAAGGCCACTTTAAATTGAGAGTCCTCAAGGGAGCTAAACACGGGCTTGCTCATTCCCTCTGAATGCTCACCTGAACGTCCATATATCATCAGCCCCTCTGAGCAGGAGAGGCTGGAAGAAGGCAGATGGGAAACTGGCCAATAGCTTTGGTGTGCCTTGCAAAATCAGCCCTGCAGCCAGCATTTGGTGGGGAAAACAACTGCCCAGGTGCTGCGGGGACTTCAGCTTGTCAGGGGTTCGTGGAAAATCCTGACCGTCTGGTGCAGTGTGTGCTAGCTGTTCTGGGCAGGACAGATGGAAAAATCAGTCCTAGCATTATTAATTAGAGATAATAAGGCCCATGGCTGTGCGGAGGATTCCCAGGCGGGTGGCTGGGTGGGGTGTCCTGCGAAGCTGCCATCTGCACGGAGCGGTGGGTGCTGCAGGGGTGATGGGTGGGCTGGTGGAGGGGTGGGGGCCAGCCTGGGCTGCGCTGGGGTCTTTCCCCACTGTGTTACTTGTTGTGTTGCTTGTTCCCAGGTTGCCCAGAGAAGCTGTGGATGCCCCATCCCTGGAGGGGTTCAAGGCCAGGCTGGATGAGGCTTTGGGCAACCTGGGCTAGTGGGAGGTGTCCCTGCACATGGCAGGGGGTGGCACTGGATGGGGTCTAAGGTCTCTTCCCACCCAAACCGTCCTGTGATCTGTGATTCTCTGTACCCTCTCTGGGGAAGAGAGTGCCTGGAGCATCCCCTTGCAGCCATTGCTATGTGAAAGAAGGGCAGAGAAGTCGAGTAGGACTGTTTCCCACTGAGGATGGATATGGTTAATCTCTGGGTAATCATGTTTGCCCAGTGCACAGGCAGGCAGAGGGGAAATTCGCAGCCCATGCTGGCTGGCACTGCTCCATCAGTGTCCTGGTGCTTTGGGGGTTTCTCTCAGCTGAGTACCTACCCCAGAGATGCACCTGTAGAAGGAGAGAGCTGAAAACTGCTGCCCATCAACTTTTCCTCTGGTTTATGGCTGTAATCCTCCCAGGCCACGCATGCTGCCCCTCATGTAGCTGCACCCTCTCGGTCCTCCAGAGCTTCTCGTGTTCCCCACCGCACGCCCTGTCCCCCGGGAGCTGCCCCGTCGGGCGAGGGACAGGGCAGGGGTACAGCTATCCTGTGTTCAGCTGCCCCTGTGTCCTACCTCTCCCTTTGCTTGCTCATTTTCCTCCTTGTGTTCCTGAGGACTGTAGAACAGGAACAGAAGGATCCTTTTGGTGCTGCTTTGTCACTCGGTGTGTCCTGTGACACCTGGGGCTGGTGACAGGGCAGCTGCAGTGGCCCTGAGCAGCCCGGCCCCAAATGAAGAGCTTCACAGCAGCTCCCCGAGGGTGTTTGCCATGAACTGGAGTGATACCTGTAGCTTACTCTGTTCGTTGATGTTTTCAGTTGGTGATACCGGAGGCTGGGTTTCTGTAGAACAGACCAGAGAAGGGCAGTGTCCAGCAGAGCTCTGGCAGTCCCGTGTCTGGCTGACACCTCAGCTGGGCTGCAGCTGCCGAATGCTCTCTCAGCCCTTGCCTAGGCTGTGTCTCCTTTCCCAAGACCCAGAACCCTCTTGGCATAACATGACTTCCTCCACTTAAGGCATTAACCTCATATAACAGTGCTTTACTTCTGGATTTGTCACCTGGGTCCTGGATGTCATTCCATCATCTCTTTTCTTCCCACTTTTCCTTTGGCAGAGCCAGACTTCCATGCCATGATCTGCCCTCTCACTCCGCTTGACCTCCTACATTATTGCAAAACAGCGAAAGACAAAACAAACCCAAATCATGGATGTTGCATGTTCTCCACACCTCACTGGAAAATCCTCCCTTGGTAGAATCGCCCAGTCTGTCCCCCCCCCATGCCTGTGCTGCTCTCTGGGATGCACGGGGCATTGCCCACCCTGCAGCCCCTGTATCTCCAAAGCATCCTTTGAGCCCCAGCCAGCCCTGAGTCCAGGGGAGATGGAGAAGCCTGGGGAGCCCCAGGAGCAGCCAGACCTGCTCTGCCCCCTCCTCTGCATTGCTGCAGGAGCCAGCTGCAGCGGGGGGGGATGTCGCAGGTTTAGAGCTCCATCTGGGGCTGCTGCTGGCTGGGGACACCTACAGAAGTGGCTCTGTCCCAGGGTGTCTGCTGCTCGCTGGGGTATTGGTGGGAGAGCTGGAGGCAGCAGCGTGTTGTCAGAAGCATGGAGCTGATGCTGCTTTTTTGCAGCGCCCAGACACCGTGTAAATGACTGTTCCTCCTCCTCTGCAGGTGAACCTGGTCCTGAACGAAGGGAAGTCCCTGGGCCTCATGATTCGAGGAGGGGCTGAATATTCCCTGGGCATCTACATCACCGGCGTGGATAAAGGCTCCGAAGCGGAGAGCACTGGTTTAAAGGTGAGAGTGACCCTGGAGCGGGCTGGGGTGGAGCTGCACAGGCTGTGGCTGCGGGGCCGTATCGGCACATCACTGCTGCTGTTCTACCCCTCTGCCCCCGGGCACGCAGGGCTCTCGATGGAGAGGTGAGCCTTGTGTTTTTGGGCGCGACTTTCCAGGGCAAGTTCTGTGGACATTTTGGACACTAGACTAGAGGGAGCAAGGTTGTTGTGCATAGAGAAATGCAGCCTTACAACTTCTGGAGTAGGTTGTACTTGCCTTCTGCCTTAGCACACCCCCACGCCTGACTTTTCCCCCTTGAGACAGCCTGGGGATGTTTTTGGTGTAGGTATCTGAGAGCACAGCCCAGAGCTGGCAGGTGAAGAAAGTCGCTCTCACCTCCCTGAGCTGGCAGGGAAGAGTTTTCCATTAAAGCTCTGGGTCCTGTGCCCTCTTGCTGTGTCTCGCATCCAAACCCATTATGTTTGGAGCTAGCACAAGGTGTTCGGAGCCTGCCTGCCGGGAAGGTGTTTAGCTGCCACGTTGGGAGGAGGCCAGGCTTGCTGCAGCGGGAGCAGGTGCGTGCTAGTTTTCTCCTGCAACGTTGACATTCCCAAGGATCGTGTCTTAACAAGTAGAGACAGCAGGATCACCCTCCGGGCTAGAGTGGAGCTGATCTACCAGCAGCCTAACTTGGTGTGACCTCCAGGTACATCAGGCTCCCTCCACAGTCAAACAGGTTCCTACAGGATGCTCTGCGGTCTGGCTGGGCCCTTCTGAGGCTGCACTGGTCCAGAGCTGGCTGCGGTTTTGCTGTGGACCTCTTGTAACGCGAGATCCTACATCTCTTTCATCTGACCTTATACGTGTGTGCACACATCACCTCCAAGCTCTGCCGTCCTTCCTGCTGGACCAGCTCTCAGAACAGGATGGGACATCTTGGGACCTCAGATGTTCCTGGAAGGGGCATTTGGGGTTAAAATTTTACATGTTCTAGGGTGTTCACTAGTAAAATAAGTTGAAAAAGGAGCCACTGGACTTCAGGTGTATCTCTGTGCTGTTCATGAATGGGGCAGGTTTGAAACTCAGACTCTTCAGGCTGTAGCAGTTTACTTCATCACTCAGGGTTTCTTTTCTGGTGTGGTTTTTCCTCTCTAAATGACCTAACTCCCTGCAAGCGCATTGTGTCCTTTTTGCTTCCTCCAGTGCAATCCCATGGGCTCTGAAACAGCTTCTCCCCAATTATCTGTGTCAGTCAAGACCTGATGGATGTTAAACTCCCTAACGTCCTCTCAGTCCCTGGAAAAGGTGCTGGACTGCTGAGCATCGAGGGGTAATCTGCTCTGATCCCCTCTCTGTATCATGAAGTGACACATTTCTCCCTTTATCAATCCTGGACTGTTCAGTGCTGAGCCTTCAGCTTTGCTCCAGTGGCCCCATAAAGTCTCTTTACTCTGACAAGGCTGGTAGAATGAAGAGGGTGGATGGTTTGGTGGAGAGGGCTCTGATTTGGGCTGGGACAGATGCCATCCTGTCCCTCAGATTCCTTTGGCTTGTCTAGCCCACCCAGCTAGGCACTGAGGTCACTGGGTTCCCTTTATAGACAAAGGAGAAAGAGGGAGACATCTAATGCAGCCACTTCTGAACCTAGCTGTCTGCTGCCGGCAGGTTTGACTCTTTTTGACACAGAATGAAAACGCTGAACTTGGAGATGTGGGTCAGAGCCTTGATCTCTCCCAGGTCCCTAGCAGGGAAATGGGCTTTTGGACCCTGTAACATCGGAGGGTCACTTGGGCACTAGGGACGAGGAGCTGTGGGAGCATCCTGGGGAGACGGCTGAGTGTTTCTCAGGGCAGCAAGACGTGAGAGCTGCTGCTGGAAACCCCCTGCAGACCATCCTTCTCTCCCAGAGTGTCCATAACTCCTGGCGTGTGCTGTTCTGCCTGCCCACCCGGCCAGGGCACGCGGCCGTCACCCAGGGACGTCAACGCGTGCGTGTTCATTAGCACAAGGTCGTGGTGAGAGGCAGCAGGGACGGTGCTCTGGGATGTTAGAATTTCAAGGCAGAGATTTTAAGAGGCACAGGACAATTTGTTTCTGCCTAATAGAGCTGGAAAGAGCGGGACTGGCTTGAGCTGCCCTGGTTGTCACACGGTGACTTTGCTGAGTCAGGGGACCTGCCATCTGAAGCAAATTTGTTTGTCCCCAGCGCCTGCAGACCCTGTGCCAGAGTGTCAGACTCCGTCTCATAAACGCCAGAAGCCTGAAAGATGAAAAGCAGGAAAAGAAACAGAAGTTGCGTTGTTTTCCCAAGGTTCTTTCTGTTTGTTTCATGTTTAGTGCTTCCCTACTGCTCCAAATCCCTCTCTTCGCTGCACAGGGAACATTGCTGCTTTTCTTGGTTCAGTCCCCATGCCGGTGAGCTCAGCACAGCTAATGTCACACTGCAAACACACACACGCGGGGAAAGGCACAGCAGCATAACACGGCATTGTCCCTCCGCCTCTCATTTAGAGTCACAGAATGGTTTGGGTGGGAAGGGAACTTAAAGCCCACCCAGTGCCACCGCCTGCCATGGGCAGGGACACCTCCCACTAGGGATGGGGCATCCAAAGCTTCTCTGGGCAACCTGGGCCACTACCTCACCACCCGCACAGGAAAACATTCCTTCCCCATGTCCAACCCAACCCTGCCCTCTTCCAGTTTCAAACCGTTGCCCCTTGCCCTGTCCCTGCAGGCCCTGGTGAGAAATCTTTGTCCTGTCCCCCCTCGTCCTGTCCCTGCCCCCCCTGATCCAGAGCCCCCCCATCTCTCCTGGAGCCCCCTTTCAGCACTGGAAGCTGCTGGAAGGTCTCCCCGGAGCCTTCTCTTCTCCAGGCTGCACACCCCCAACTCTCTCAGCCTGTCCCCGTACAGGAGCTGCTCCAGCCTCTGACCATGTTGTTGATCATTCCATACCTGGCAGAAAGGTGTGAAAATAACCACACACTGCAGTCGCAGCACATGGAGCAATGTGTGCTGCTCTCCATCCCTGCCAACAAGGTCCCTGCTCCGTGGCAATTGTTTGCACACTGGAGCGTCTGCTTATTGATTCTTTATGTCTCCCTCCTTGCTGTTCTGTTTTCTAGTAACTGATTTGTGCGTGCCAGCAAGCCCATGCTTTTCTGAATGTCAGGCTTTATGTGATTTCAGATCCGCGCAGACACTGCCCGCCCTGATTTGTGTATGCTGCAGGTCGTAAATCGAGGCTGCTTGGAGGTTTGGAGATAAAGAAAAGCCCTTTATGTCCTGCTCTTGGGCACGGTGGGGGGTAGATTGCATCCCCACGCTCCCTGCGCTGCTCCGGGTGGTGGTGGAAGGGATGTGGTACTATGAGGAGGGAAGAACTGATGGGGAAATGTGATTTCCAGATATTTCATTGCTCTCTAAAATAGAAAACTTGGGGGTTTGTTCAGTGTGGGCTCAACCCAACCTTGCTGGAGCCGATGGGCAGGTTCCTGCTGCCTTCCCGGGCAGTGGGTACTTCTGCGGGTTTTGCTGCTGCCCCTGAATTTGTTCCCAGAATTCCTTAGAAGTTGATTCTGCCAGACTTTTCATTTTAGGGAAAATCTTCTTGTGCCCATGACACAAATCAAAACTTTTGAATATTTTAATAACGTTTTGCATTTCTCTTAAATTTCGATTAAAGGACCAACAACGTGGTGTTGAAAGCCAGTCAAAACCAAAGACATTTCTTCAGTTCTGAAAGCTCAGCTGACTTTTGCCTGCTACAGAAACAGGGGCTATGGTCCTGGGGAGTGGATCCCAGAGGAGATGAACCCTGCTGGTGCTGGTGCTGGGGACTGCGGCTCTGCGGCCCCGAGGCAGAGCGCTCTGCAGGTGCCAGCAGAACACCGGCTGGATGGCTGCAGCCGGTCAATAATTAAATATTCATACGCTTGGCCTTGGCCGCCTTGATGTTTATTCATTTGTTAAACTTCTGACAATGCGTTCTTTGGGCATGTTTTAAAATATGCTGCCTCGGTATAAGTTGTCAGACTGAAAAAGTGCAGGTTAGCAGAGGACTGCAACGGAGGAACGTGAGCCAGGCTTGTTTGCTTTCGCCGTCTGTCCTCCCTGCCTCCTTGGTGATGTTCACAGCGATGCTGCTGTACAGGAGCTCAGCTTGTTCTGCTGCCATTCATGGCTCAGCTCATCCCAATTTCTTCCTCGTTCATTTTTTTCTGGTGGTGTATTTTGTCAAGATTTTTTTTTTTTAAGCCAATCTTTTTTTTCTTTCCTTGAGTCTTACATCAGAAATAGCAGATTTCAGGTAGCTCTCTTCGAACAAACAGCTCAATATTGAGTTCCCAGCACAAAGGCTGGGGTAAAAAGAGGCTCTCACAATCCCTCTATATCCGTATACAAGAGAAGGAGAGAAAAAGTCTGTAAATAGGAAGAGGTGAATGATTTGACGTCATCAGTGGCAGTCGTGAAGATGCCTCTTGACAACTGGCTTGTATTTTGAGGTCTGTGCATAGACAAAGATAGCTGAAAAAGAGAAGATTAAAAAAAAAAGAGCCTTGTGGATGCCTCAGAGTCTGGGGAATAAGCTGTATAGTGAGAAATTCAACGAGGAGGTGTGAGGTTGCGGTACGCCGGAGGCGGTGTGGAGTGGCCCTTCAGGCGATGTCACCTTTATGGGGACAAGCGTTGCTTGAATTGCTCCTCTCCTGGGACAGCACAAGAAACCTCTCCACAGCAATGCCAGAACTGCTGCCTGCCCCAAGAGACAATCTTCTCTCCTTGTAGGCTTTCATTGCCAGCCTGTGTCTGCTTTGTTCCTGGTGTTTGTATCACAAGGTGTTTGGGGAGAAGAACGTGTTTCCAGACAGCACTTGGCACCCGCCGCTCCCCTGCCTTGCTCCCAGATCCCTCTCTGATCCTTCCAGCAGGCTGCCTTGGCCTCGTCGGATGGGGATCATCTGCCTCGACCTGTTTCCCTCCTGGGGAGGCTGAGTACCTCCTTATTCTTCTGCGAG